ACTTGCTGGCATTGAAAAAGGGGATCGCTAAATTAAATAAACTTACTTAAACTTGACATACATGCTTAAGGGCACGCGGTACAGCGCAGTTGTACACAATTTCCTTCCTTGTATATTAATTACTTTTGCAACGGAAAGAATTCCTTCCAGTAAAGCAAAAATAGTATTAAACTTGAAACGTTACCGGCTTAAAATAGAAACAGACATTTTAAAATGTCCATTAAAAAGGAACAGAGACAAACTCTCTGCCGTCGGATATCGCAATTATTGCAAACCGGTAATCTAATTTGCTATCGTGCTGTAATTACGTTGCGACTAAATGAACGAGTTGAAATGAATTCTGGAATGAATTCCCCGAAAATGCGAAAAGGCAAATCGCTACTGTCAGCTGTCGCACGCATCAGTCTCACGGGGGGTGGTGTAAGTGCAATGCCATTGCACTTTCGCGGTCCTGCTTCTTTCTTTTCTGACGTAAATCCCGCTCCCCTTTTTTTCTCCTCATCCACGTGTTTCCCCCTTTCTCTTTTTCTCGCGGCTGAGCGATGTGGACAAATTGTGGTCGGACGAACGTCACCAGACCTTCTGGCATTTTTGTATCTGCCACCCTCTGGCGTTTCCCACACGATCCTCTCCCTCCCCGCCGCGCTCGGGGATGGCGCAAAACCTCTTTCCGAGAGACTCTTTTCGGCGAACGCGCTTTCTCCGTCGAGTTCCGTCACACGACGATGACGCAAATGCGCACTAAAACGCAAACGCGTTTGCGTGCGAACTACATCTAAATATAATGTCAAACATTAAATATCTCGAATCGGTTTAAACGAAAAGAATCGCAGATAACGCTAAACGAAGTAAATCGTATTTAAACACGTTATTTGTGTGCTACCTGAAGAGAGATATATGCAGGCTATATCTTTCAAGATGCTGGAAGAAATAGATCGTCTATTGTTGTTAACAAAAGCGGAAAAAAACGATATAATGGAAATTATCTAGTTGGGAAATTTAAACTTGTTCGATTTTTCCGAAACGGATTCAGATTCTTAACCGGACGTGGCACTTTCGCAATGAGGAAAGATCGATCCAATCGTGATCACGTGAAGCGTTTACTAAACTGGTCAAGCCGATCGATAGCGAACACCTGTGCGTTTGCGGTCAATAATGATCGCAGTCAATCGTTTGAGACCGAAAGATTTAAATGTCTCGCATGCATAATGCGCGTGGAAATATCTATATATATATATATATTTTTTAATATAACATAAATGTTTATATATTTTAACGAAACGAGATTACACGCGAGAATGGCTCCGTAGGTTCTGCCCGGCCGATTACGATCGATTGCATAAGAGGAATTCTGAGATGTCATGACGCAATTCTCATGGTCCGTAACAGAAGGAAGAAGAAAAGGCCAGGATCGAACGAGGATCGGGTTGTGGATTTCTGCGAAATTACGGTACCGGTTGTTTCGTCGTCATAAATAAAAGTTTGAAAATGAAATAATTTTAAAAAAATTTGATTAATAGAAATTCCTTAACGTGTATATATTCACGTACGTATAATAAACAATGAAAACACGTAAAGCATTTGCCTTGCAGAACATGTTAATTAAAATGATAATTCTAATGTTACCAATTATGATAGGCGAGCTTTTTGTTGAACATTGTCTCGGATATATCTAATTTTTTTTTCTCTTTTCGCGATACATAGAAAAAGAAAGAACCGTTTGAAGGAGTAAAAGATAATAAAAATGTAGTGAACACGACATGTACATGACAATGACATAAATAAGAAAAAGTTGCGATCAAATAACCGGCGAAAATGCAAATAGCCACACTCGCAAATACAATTTTATATGTTACGGTATCTTGTTTACCGCATGTTTTGAGGCACTTCTATCTTTATGCGTGTCTATCTTACGCAAAACAATTTTTGCAACATACATTTATTCACCATGATATACCTATGTACCTCGCAACTCAAATTATCCAATTATCTGCGATTAAAATCGTATTTTTAAGATAATTGATGGGATCAATCTTAAATGTTATTATCAAACCTACGATTACACGTCGAGTAAAATCAGCACACGAGGACGAGCCGGGAAATTAATATTTCAATATTTTTAAAGTTAAAAGAACAAATAATTCTAAACCGGTCAAACAGAAACAGTCATTAAAATGTGGCACAATAATAAAAATGGTAAGATTCTGTACACTCGAATACTACAAAACAATTTTTCTATATAAGTTTGTAAAGAAACCTTCGGAACTATATAAAAGATGTCGAAGATGTCTCATCGCGCGCGGTGTAAAAAAGCTCGAGCCACGGATAAACAGATTAATCTTAAAGTTTAAAAAAGCGCATAAACGGTATAATCATTTTTGTCTCTTTCGGGGAACCCCGATTTATAATCATATAACTCATGCGCGCGATTATGTGGACCACTCCGAGAGTCCCATTTATAATTTGCATATCCTTGCTTTTTGTCACAAAGGAGAAAACCCGTCGACCTGTTCCCCGCGGATAAAAAATACTGCATAAAAGCTCCCGTATCGAGTCAATTACGATTAATCTCTGTCGGTCCGACATGTAGAACCGAGACACACCGAGATGAGAGATTCGCGTCATTTTCCACCGTTCGGTCATTCGAGCAGCCTCAAGTTACACTTTATGACGTGAATAATTAATGTTAACAGAATCAGACCACCGCGCCGGCCGCTATTTTCGCAATAACGTTAAGCGAAAAACAGAATGAATATTACAGAGGTTTGCTGTGAAATTGAAATCGACTCGTGCGACGTAAAATCAAACACGTACAATAATCTTTATCGAAAGTGCGCATTTTGTTATTGTAATCAGTCAGTTAATTAGTTGACTACCCGGTTGCACCAACGTCGCCATAACATATAAGCATAACTCCATTCTTCGTCTCTTTCTAACTGTCCCCTTAGAAAGAGACAAAGAGTGAGGTTTTGCTAAGGTTTGAGCTAAGGTTAATTAAACGTTATGCGACGTTGGTGCAACCGGGCCTTAGGCTGTTGTACAAGTTGTTATCTATCTAGGGCTAACAATAAATAGCGAAATACCTTTTATGCCAGAGCCGGCCACCATCGGCATCAGCTAGAGTTTATGCTTTTTTCTATGAAAAAAAAAGGAAACAGTGCACGCAAGGACATCTAGTGCTTAAATAAAACAATTTACGTTTTACGTAAGAGAGAAGTATATATCGATAATACAGCATGCATTGAGAGAGCTGCTTGTTGCCTCACCGACCGTCAATAATTAACGACGTCATTTGAGTTTTGCATTAATATGACTGCAATGAGAGAAAAGTCTTAAAAAATTTAAATTATATTAATACAGAAGTATGACTCGTCATAAAATTAAAATATTGGTATTTAATATTAAATTGGTATTTAATATTAAATTAACATTTTAACTCAAGAGCTCAAAGCTCTTCGCTGCATGATTTCTCTACAATTGGCTGGCCGAAAACTCAAATCTCGATCTCCTTTAATAAAACTGTGACCAAGGCATAGATTCGTAATTACTTTATTTATTTGTAGCTTTCATGTGTGTGGTTTTACAGAAAAAAAGATTGTATCCGGTGTATTCGCATCGATTGTAATACAGAGCGTAAGAACGCATGCGGATCCAAGAATGTAAAATCAATTCCTCCGAACGATGATGAAAAAAAAGCATTGCTTCGCGCTACTACTTGTTCATAGCGATCTGGTTCTCGTCGAAACCAATGAAATCGAACAGATTCGAAAGTTTAAAATTTAGTTTGAAATTTTGAATTTTATGGTTTTCTCGAAATGATCCAGATGGTCTCCGATTTATGTTCTATGAACGTACAACTGGGATATATTGCCCGATCGGGCTAATAATTCATCGGCGTTCAGAGATCGCTACCGCCATTCGTTGCCACCTGACGCGTTTCTTTCCTTTTTTTTTTGGTTTTGGTTTTCACGTAGCTAAATTCCTTAAAACACTTTGCCGCACAGATACATGCTATGTACTTGAGAAATATATTTATATATTTATATATATATGCGCGTGCGTTTTACAGCCTACGACGGCATCCGCCTCGCTCCGCAGTTCTTAATTTAGAGCTCTGTTTACCTTGCACACAGTTTTCGCGCGATTTAATCTTCACGATTATAATCAACTCCGATCATATCATATACTCGAGTTGATCCTACCCGAGTCACTCGGATGATCCCTCGCGTCGAGATTTATTTCTTCGTTTTCTTTTTTTTCCCTCTCTTTAGCCTACCTTATTACGTTCTTACAATTACATTTCGCAAATATACTTACTTACTTTACGAGAGCCGGTTGATATTATTTTGAATTATTTCTCATAACGTGTGTCATTTGTAACATGATTATCAATTTTTATCGTTACAATACCTAAATACAGGGGCACGATGGACACCAATTACTTCCTCGCGGAGGTTGCGATCCGCGTTTTTCTCGCCGAATTATGCAATTCTTGTTGTTGTCGAACGCCTCGCTTCTCTCTGCTGCGTTAAAACTCTCGGCGTCTCCTCTCCGTCACGTTATCAGCGAGAAAACTGAGTGAGCTTAAATGGATTTTGGTAGTTCTAGCTATATAATAAGTAGATAAGTTTAATGCGTAAAATGGTCAGTAACTAGCTAAGCTTACCTCATCGATCTGAAGAAAGGGTACTTTTCACTGTAAATCTCTACGATCCCGACAGACTCCTCATTACAAGAACAATGGAATGTCTTAACGTAAAACTCGATGGAATGGCTCGTCGATGAATCGGCGAATGGATAATTACAAATACTGATTCCGACTATCGTCCATCCGGAAGGGACAGACGAAGATAGAGAAATATATATGAATATATTTATATATTAATTATATATATATATATATATAATTACATGTATATATATATATATATATATATATATTAATATATATTATATATATAGAGCGTAAATTGCGTGTGTAAATGTGCGAGTGGAAAAAGTCGGGGTACAGTCATTTATTCTGTTCTTATACCACAGCAATCGATATTTAGTTTACACAACGGGCGTATGAAAACGTACAACCACATTACAGACTAGCTAGATAGTTACTTTGTTTGCTGTGAGTAACGTAACGCGCTAAAAAGGCTCACCTACGACAACGTAATCTTTTTTTCATTTCTTCCCCCTTCTTTCTTTCTTTCTTTCTTTTTTTTTTCACCTTTTTATTTTTATCACGACGCTGCTCATCGAGCTGACGCGATGGGACGCACTCGCCTCGGAAGAGATACGTAAAAGGACCGGAAATCAAGAAATCGCCATCAGAGAATTTCGATGATACGCTCTACCGCTTCTCGCTCACGTTACTGAGCGCCTTCGCGACGCGGTCCCTATTACGAAAGCTCACAAAATCAGGCGTTATTGCATTTGACGAGGTGTACAGAGGGTGGGGGAGGGGGAGAGGAGGCAATCGAAGTAAGCACATTCTCTTCTCCTCAACTCGGCTATGCCAAGAATCCATGCATTTAAAATTTTTCTTTTCGGCTATCTATAACATTACAATCGTGTCGGATTTTATTCGGAAGTACATATCTTATTACAGGGTACAAGCTCGAAAGCGAGGTCCGTCCTGATAACTGGCAATGAGGGCGCCGCCGTTATTTCCGTAAAGAGAGAGAGAGAAAGAGAGGAGAGCACGGGGGGGAGGGAAGGAGAAAGAGAGGACACGCGCGAATTATCTTTAAAATAAATCGATTTACATGCGTTATTACAGACACCGTAATAATTACAGTACACGCGGGACGACCACGCGCGCAGTAAAAAAAAAGGGGTGAGGAACGAAAAGGAGGAGATTGGAGGAGAAGAGCTCCAAATGGTGGAGATGTAAGAACGGATAGACACGTAAATATATCCCGGTATAATGCCGTGCAATCCATACGCCTTTTTGTTCCTCTTCCACTATTGCAAAACATAGGACACATAATTCGTTCTTATTCACTGTGACGGAAACCAAATCTGAATTGCCGAGACTAGTAGATACCGACTGGCGCCGGCATCGACGTCGGCTCGACGTTCTTGACGCTTTCGCGACGTCGTTCGCACATAAATTTCAATCGGACGCATGCGAGGTGCAAACACGGCATTTCCTCTCGATACGCAAAAAACGGGGCAATTAAAAAGTGCCTTTCTCCTAAATGCTTTGCAGTCTCTCTATTTACCGCAGGGTGCGTGTCCTTTTGTTTCATTACTTTTTGCTGTGCTCGATAACTCAATCGTATATATATTGTGTACGTAATATAATGCCGAATAAACTGAATAATTTATTTATTATTAATTCTGTTGCTGTTGTATTTTGTTGGTATTGCTGCTGCTGCTTTTTTTTTGAAGTAACCATACGGTGCGTGCTTTTTTATATTTTTAAAGGGTCACGCAAATTTCTAAAGATCTCCCCTTCCCACCCCGAACTGCCACCTGCTGAATTGGTTTTTTTTTCTTTTGCTTACGAGTTATTTAAGAGTTTTTTCTTGTGTCTCAGTTTTATATGCGCAAGATAACACTCACTACAGCTAGAGTTACGATACGTCCTGGTCTTCCACATCCTGCAGCTGCTCCTTTTGTTCAGCTTCACCTGCGCAACAAAAATAACAAATGTTGTGTCAGTAAATAATCTAGCTGAACGCATCTAAACAATGCACGTTAAATAAATTACGTCTGATAAGTGAAGAAGCTTAGTGAGATAAATTTGTGATACCTTTCTCATTTTTTATTCTTATTATTATTGTAACGATTGTATATTATGTCGCTCACCAGATACACACATGCTAAGAGGATGAGGATGTTAGGAAAAAGGGTATATCTATGTTCTGGCATCGTGGGTATCAACGGCGCTATCGTCTTGCAGATCAGACTCGGATTCTGAATTACAAAATAATAATTCTGCATTCGAAAATTGCATGCAAATTATGACTCCTTACAAGTCAAAATAGATATATAAAAAAAACAAGTTTATAACAAAAACATAAATACGAAACGAGATAAATAGAAAGTTCAAAATGTTTCACAGTTCACGATCTTAATTTTAATAACTAATATGTTCCGAAGAACTCGAGATCAATATTTTTTCAGAGAAATGTAAATTGAGGTGAGACGAGAGTATCCGAGATAAGATCATTCTATCACAATGCACGGTATTCCGTCTGCGTGTCGATCGATCGAGGACAGACGAGGTACATCGTGTAATGCGTTTTAGCGTGATCAAAACATCCCTACGGCGGTTTCGCCTCGATAAGTAAGTGGGACACTAACCGTCTCCCTGCATATCCGACGTCCATAGGGTAAGGTTGTCCCTGAGGAGTTGCATTATGAGGGTGGAATCTTTGTAGCTCTCCTCAGACAGCGTGTCCAGTTCGGCGATCGCATCGTCGAAGGCCGCCTTCGCCAAGCGGCATGCTCTGTCAGGGCTGTTGAGGATCTCGTAATAGAACACGGAGAAGTTGAGCGCTAATCCCAGGCGAATGGGATGGGTCGGCGGTAGCTCCGTCATGGCGATATCGCTCGCTGCTTTGTATGCCACCAGGGAGTTCTCCGCTGCTTCCTTTCTGTCATTACCGATGGCAAATTCTGCCAAGTAACGATGGTAATCACCTTTCCTGAAAGCGCGTCGACAGCGGATTAATAATTCGTATCGTGTGTCGAAATACAACACGCATCAGCGACCATTCAACAGCTTGTTTCGCGACTTTTTAAAAAAAGATAAAAGAGACAATGAACTATTAATCACGTTTTTTACTTAGTGCTAGGTAAAAATGAAAATATGAAGAAGCGATTGTAATAAAATGTTATGAATGGATCCTTACATTTTATAATAGAAGACTTTGGATTCTCCCGTGGAGGCGCACGGTATCAGATGCTTATCCAGGACGCCGAGGATATCGGCGCAAATATCCCTGAGCTCCTTTTCCACTTGAGATCGGTACTGGCGGATCATCTCTAGTTTTCCCTCGGCACCCTTATTCTCTTCCTTCTGCTCGATGCTCGAGATTATTCTCCAGGAGGCTCTCCTCGCTCCGATCACATTTTTGTATGCTACCGAGAGGAGGTTCCTTTCTTCAACGGTGAGCTCTACGTCCAACGAGGCGACCTTCTTCATCGCCTCAACCATCTCTGCAAACAATAACGGCAAATAATATCGTTGATGATAAGTTCATCGACTTGTCGTATGCTATAAGACGATCGTTATATAAGAAATTATAAGTATAGAATAAATGTAAAAGTGGTACGTGGAAAAAATGTTGAAACGCAAAAATATATAATTATGACAGAAAACAATTTCTTTTTATAAAACAAGTGTTATTTCTTAAAAATACTAATCTTATCTAAGAAAAAACGATCTTCGAAGTAACGGAAGTGACTTTCTTAGGAACGAAAATACTGTTTTTATACATAGCGCCTTGATTTTTCTCTACACACGTTGACGGTACATAACATTTTTATCCATACGTGACATTTATATAATAATCCTTAAATAGCAAAACTATCGAAGAGATTCTTAGATTAATAGATTATCTGGATTATCAAGGTCTCTACCGTGAAAATACAATATAAAAATGTCCTAACGATTTAATATGAAACGAGTTTTTGTCACATATCGATTCGACGATGAAACTTGACGAGATATATATATAAAGTCAATCATTCATTTTACATTGTACGTCTTCCGAGCTACTCTATGTTTATCCCGCAAAGTTCAGGTTGTCAAAGGATTCCTCCGTAAATCACTGCGGAATGAACTCTCCGTGCCGCTCGTGAACTTGTTCGCTTAAATGGCGTATGGACGTTTGGCCTATAAAACGTTAACGTGCCTATCGCGGATGAAACGATAGCGCGGAGTGCCTTTGGAGTAAAGGGGATGAACGCGTCGGTATATATTAATCCGCGCTGCCCCTTGAACTTTGCGCGGAAGTCACTAATACGGTATTTATCGGCACATATTCGCTCGGGAGCGAGATGCTGTTTTTGGTCTCCAGATGCTGTTTTTACGAAACGTTCTCTCTCTCTCGCGCGCGCTTGCCCCAGTGGTCCAGCCCCCCCGAGGTGTCTCTCGACTTCATTAGGCGCAACATTCAAAAGCTCGAATCAAGAAATTGTGGGGAAGAAAGGAAAAAGAAGTTTATTCGAGGTATTACCAAGTGTGGAACGTATTAGCAAAATTACACAAGATCGTTAAAGGACGAAAATGAGATGCGAGCTTCGATTTGAAGCTGCAAATTCGCTGCCGGTGCGGAAGAATCTCGTACGATATGTACGTCTCTCCTCCCGCGGTATCAGCTACTCTCGGTTAATCTCGTAAACGACATCGAAGATAAATTACAAATGTAAATGTTGACTCGGCGACGCGCACAACCGCGCGACCGATTAAACGTTTGCCTTCTCTCGCGACTCGAAGGATCGGGGAAACAAGCCTCCGGGAAACTTGTCCTCCGACTTTGAAGCTGATATCTCCATTCAAAGTGCGAAGGCTGACAATGAAATTCAAGAAACTTTCCGCCCTCGAGTTTGTCGCGCGCTCTCTCGCTCGCGCTCTCGGCGCGCTTAAAATGGCACAAGTGGCACGTCTCGCGGGGGGTAGAAAGGGGAAGGAGGAGGAGGAGGCTGCCGGGAGGCCGGACTCCGGAAACCCGGAGACCCATAATAACGGCATGATAAACGGCGGGCAGGCAGGCAGGCAGGCAGGTAAGCAGGGAGGAAAAGATGCGACGCGTGGAGGAAAGGATCGATGCGTGGATCAATGCGTCGCGACGCACGCACCGACGTTACCGACGCGCGACCCGAGGTGGTAGGTGCCTTCAAGTTCACGGGGGGTGAATGTGACGTAAAGCGGACCGTTACAATGAACACGGGTGTATACATATACCGGTGTGCAGCAACGTGGGATAGCACAGCCAGATCAATACTTTCCTTCTGCTAGCTACCCCTTCTCCCCCATTCTGTCCTCCTCCTCCTCCTCCACCTCCTCCGCCACCTTCTCTCACCCCTTTGCTCACCCTTTTCCTCCTCCTCCTCCTCCTCCTCCTCCCATTCCCCGACTAAAGCCCACCCTTTTCGTCTCCCTTTCTTCCTCCAGCTACTCTCAAATTCCGACCGTCACTCCTCGTCCTCCGACACGTCCTGGGAGAGTCACGTCGTTACGTCGCCTCTACTCCGGCTTTGCCCTCGGGACTGATTATGCCAATAATGTCGAACTGGGGTAGCTAACAACGAGCCCCCGAATTTTCGGGATTATCCCGCGCATTAAATTATACTCAATTTTGAGTCATTTTAAACCATTCCTATAGGTCGCCACACTGCTCCCACGCAATATGAATTTAACTAAATCAATAAAGTTGAAATAATAAATTTCGACACACATAACAGTTAAAAATAACAGAATGTTATTTAACTCGAGGTATTGGTTTAAATTTCATCGTTTTTAATATTTAACGGTGCATGAATAGATGATCCAGAGAGGATTTATAACCGTCCTTAATATATTCCTGCGCCGCCGTTACGAGCCATTTTTCTCGTGACGCAGATGACGTTTTAAGAAACAATGGACAAATACGCGCGTTTAATCATAATTTTTCAGTGAATTCTTTTTCGATAGAGCAGCGAACAGGAAAAGAGAAACAGTACCGGGAATCGTCAGATACGTAATTCAAAGGCGACTTCTCTCTCGGGGCGAATCGATTTCCATTCATCGAACCCTCAGTAATTACGCTCGGCGTCGAAATTCCAATATTCCATTTTCAAAGGCGCGATCTCGAGAGAACGATACGATTTTTTAAATCGGCGGAAACTAAAATGTATATGAACGATCGCGCGCGCGCGCGTTTGAACCGACGACGGGCTTTTTGGGCCGATTGAAAGTAATTCCGTGCGGAATCGCGGAATTTGCTAATTGGAGAAATTCCGAAAGGAGAGAGAAAAAAAACCCGAGAGTGACTCGCCAATTAGAACGGCACCGCGAGAGGAACAAAGATTCGTTAATCAGTGCCGCGAGATCCGCGCGCGAGATCTCTCGATCTCGTTATACCGGGTGACGCGCCAGGAAGAGAGGCAGCCTTAAATCTGCCTTGCCTCGCCTTAAATCGTCGAGAGAAATAAGAAATTTTCAAGGAATGAAGAAAGAAGTAAGGTCGCCTACATTCGTTACGTTCAACTCTTTAACTTTTTGTCAACTTTTTTTTCTTCGTTACTGATAAACAGAAAATTTGCAACGACACCTCTTATTATTTTCTTATCGCTGATAAAGTTATCGATACGACGAGCTACTTTTCGCATTACCCAGCCTGCCTCCTCCCCGAGATTACGCGCATTTCGCTGTCAAAGTCGCGTGTAAGTCGCGCAGGGCACGCACGCATCTTACACACGAAGAGGAAGGGAGGAGAGGAGAGAGAGAGAGAGAGAGAGAAGAAAGGAGAAGGGAATGCCGGGGCGCAGAGGGAGATCGACGCCGGGTTCCTCGGGAATCCCGCCACGGGAAAGAGGAAGACACGAGGCGCGCACACCGAAACGCACGGCGCGGCGTAGGGACGGAGAAATTTGACCGTCTCTCTCCCCCGCCCACGCCTAGCTCTCCTCATCGTCCCCGCGGCCCCCCTTGCCCGAGCGCTCGCGCGATCGGCCCTCTCTGCCCTCCGCTCGCTGCGGACGCACGCGTTTTTGGCCCTCTGCTCTGGCTCTCCCGGAACGAGAGATCGTGAATCGGGCGTGCTCCTATTATCCGAAAAAGATAGGAATGACAAGCGCCGCGGGACGCGATCGATACGAACGCTCCGAATCGGCGGATGTGTGCCGACGCTCGATAATCGCGCACGTCCGCGGGGCCGCGTCGATATCGAGAATGCGAGGAGGTCGATCGGATCGTCCTCGTCGTCGTCGTCATCTTGGAAAGTCGGCGGCGCGACTTCGGAATCCTCGGACGAATCGTCGAAGAGATTCCGAAGGAGACGTCGCGCCGGCTCCGCAATTCCCGCGAGGGATCGCCTCACGTTACGCCTGACCTGGACCCTGTTAACTCGATACGAAGGGCAGGGAGAGGGGATGGAAGGGACGGAAGACGTGCAAAAGGACCGAAAGAGTCGGCGAAAACGACATCCGGAAGAGGTCCATTTTACCTGACCCGACGGCTTCGCGTTCAAAGCGGATACGACTTTTTTTTTATTTTTTTTTTCCTGGAAAAAGGAGTCGAAATGTCGGAGAAAATTAAAGCTAACAGTCCGTGATCTCCGTGCAGATTACGGACATATCGGCGTCGAACCAGATGCGAGAAGTTCGGAGGAAGAGCATCGTTCCTCTCTCTCTCTCTCTCTCTCTCTCTCTCTCTCTCTCTCTCTCTCTCGCTTTCTCGGTCGATCGAGTCCCGGTCGGTGATTTCTTCGCGCGCGTTCAAGGCCAGATACCACGAGCGGAACACGCGAATTATACCGCGGGTACCCCGTTCGGCCCGTGGTAATAACCCGCCGGCGATTAGCGGAGGCGCCTCGGCGTGTCTCTACCGCGTCACGACCGAGAGAAACGGACCTGTCGCTTATCTCTCGGAGGTGAGTCGAAAGAGCACGCCTAGCAACGCGTGGCGTGGCGTGGCGTGGCGACTGGCGTGTCGTTCCCCGATCGGGCCAGACCGGCGGAGATCGCCGAGAATACGAGAGAGAACGACGGGAGAAACGTGCGAGATCCTCGTGCGTACACTACTGCGTACGCCGTCGCCTCGTCCCCGCGGGCCCCGGACTCGGAGCCGGGGGCTCCGGCGAACAAACGAACAAACGAACGGACGGATGGACGGACGGACGAATGGGCGAGCGAGCGAGCGAGCGGGCGGGCGGGCGGGCCTCGCCGGGCCGGATCGACCGTCGCGAATGACACGAGTCGATATCGCGTCCGGCGCCGCCACAAAGGAACGCCGCCGGCTACGACGAATATACGCCGTAACGATCGGCGGCCTCCGAATCGTCGCGGTCGCGACTCGCGACGCGGATTTTGACAGGCATGACGCGAGCGAGAGAGAGCGCGCGGCAGCTTCTCGACGTTCTCGGGAGTCCCGTCGGAGTAAAAGAGTAGGACAGACAGGTTATTCGTCTCGATCCGCCGAGAGAGCGGACTCCGGCGCGGCGGAGTCGCGGGGTCGCGGGGCCACGACGCCCGCGACGACGGATGGCCGACGGATCGGGGCACCGCTGCTGACGCGTAACGCACGCGGGGCGGAAGCGGGGAAGGAGAAGAGGGGCCGAAGGGGGAAGGATAGCCCATTGACGCGGAACGCGGCGCGAGTCGCGAATGGGATCGCGCGGTTACGTAGAATCGGTTTTCGCGTCCGCGAACCGGCTAGGCAGCTCCCCCCGGTGCCCCCCGTCCCGCCCCACCCCTCTCCTCTCCTCCACCGAACCTCTTGCCGGAAAGAAGAAATATCTCGTACTCACCGTCGTAGCGTTCCGCTTGCTCGGCCAGTTTCGCCTTGTAAACGTTGTCCTCCCGTTCCGACATCTCGGACGCGCGCGGTTCTCACGGGTTAAACGGATAAAACGAGGGGGCCCACGCGGGGGAGTGACGCGCGCACGGAATAAGCCCGTTCGGCAAGACGTAACGCCCGAAATACGCGCAACGAAGCCACACCGCACCACGGAGACGTACAGGCCACTCGCAGGCTCACTGACCAAGATGGCGGCGCCCGCCAACAATCGAAAGCAGTTCCCAGTCTCTCGCGCAGCAGCTCCGCGGATGGACTCCGCTCGCCATGCGCTCGCGCCGTGTATTACTACGCCTTCGCGTGACGTCATTGCCTCTCCGCCGCCATCTCGGCGGACGGAACGGGACGCGCAGGCGCGAGCGCGCGCCTGCACGACTCGCCGAACGAGACGCTCCTCTCCGTTTCTCTCCCTCTCTCTCCGTCTTTCCAAGCTGAACGAGAACCGATCTTCTCGCTCTCGTAAATGTCCGTCGCAAAATTCAGCGGACTCGTGAATCGCGCAATATGTCGCGCCCGCCGCGCCTCCGCTTTCCGGCGCTGCTCTTTCGTGAAATGCCGGGAACGAGAAACGCGGAACGCGAACCGGGAAACCGGACGACGGAAATATTTCACGCCGACTCGCGCGTTTTTTTTTTTTAACGCCGAACCGATCGGCGTTCTCGAAACTTTTGAAAAATTGCTCGAGCGGCAAGCGCTTTTTTTCTCATGCTCTCTATGTTAACAAATATCGAAAGACAATTCATTTTTATAAAAAAAATATTTCTGAAGGGAAGGGAGCGTTTTACCGACCTGCGCGGTATTACAGAAGAACGAGATACCATCAATAAAACATCCCCGCAACAAACTCCTTATTTCCTTAATCTGTATTAATGGTATTAATTCGGATCGCGTTTATACAGTTCTTTCACATGATTGATTCAATATAATTAATTCGACAAAACAAAAAATCGCTTATAATACAATTACGGCCTTTTATATGTGATCGATGATGGGTGGCTGTGAAGGAGACGCCACGAAATAAATATCCCTTTATAGCGAAGCATATTTATATTTTTCTGTCTCTCTCTCCCCACACGAATTGGCTAATGTACAAGCGCTAGTAATTCAACTTCACTACTCTCACATACCCACATACACACACACACATTCGTCGCACCTTGTTAAATTATTTAATTTTTGTATTTATATGTATACAGATGTGTATAATATATATATATATTTATATATAATCATTTCAATTATTATAAACTATTAAAATTATAATACAGCCAGAGGACTTAGCGTAATGATCATTGTAGACATTGGCTGCAAGCTAGCCGTTCCGTTCGGCTCATCGAGATATGCTCGTGCACGTCGGCCGTGTACTCGATAACATCGCGGAACGGAACGGCCTATGTGCTCATAAGTAAGAGGGATATACAATAAGTTTCATCAATTAATCGTTATATGTACACACACTGGCATACATACATACAAACACATACGTACATACACGAATCCACTCGCTATAAATTCGGTCTCGCACGGGTGCCTACGGGTGCACGCGTGTGTCTCTATGCTACAGCGATAATTTCGAGAAAGAAACGATCGTAATACGCTCGATTACCCGATTTTCGTCTTTCTCCAATCGGGCGGAGCGGCACTTAGGGGTCTTCGATTCGCCGCCTCGAGTATTTAGCTACTTGTCGTTCCATTTCGGTGATAATGCGACGCGTACAGCTCGGCAAAGTATTCGGAGCGTAGCTTCTAGCGTGCTTGAAATCTGTGCGGACGTGAAATGGCATGGTTTCTTTTTTTCCTCCTTTTTTTTCCGTAGAACAACGCTGGCCAAACTTGGAAGCATCATCGTCGTCGTCGGCTTTATATTACGTGTGTAAAATGTTGAACAAATGTCGATCTTCTCGCGCGCGCGTATTCATAAATCACTGAATAAACCTTTGAACGTGTGCAGTTGCACGGATCTTCAAATTCACGTACAATAACGTCAGGATTTATTTTTCCACTTCGAATATTTTTCAGACTTTCTTTGTTGTGACACTAGGGTCAAGCAGAAAGTGTGCAACGAGGGAAAAATTACAAATACCGATGCGTGTCGAAGTTCAATTGGCTTCTTAAGATATGGAGATGTTCTTTATTTCTATAAAAATGATGTAAAAGATCATATATAAAAGAAAAATCAGCGCATCTTTTATATTAATTCATGTCAAACATCGGCTCGATTCTATTCCTCATTGCACATTTATCTGCGTTTACACAAATACTTTCAATAATGGATTAAAAATAATAAAATACACACAATTTTCGTATATATATAGCAGCACCGATTGAGTGCGATATAACTTAAACTCGGATTAATTTCTAGAAAACTAGATTCATATTCATTTAAAAATAAGTTGAGAATACTGAATATATTATAAAGTGGAACATGTAACTTTTCGAAATCCTTCCTCTCTAATGACAATAGGTTTTTTTTCTTTTCTATACGGTCTTATTGCTATCTCTCAGTTTTAGGCTAAAAATAATATCCGGAATTCATTCGACTTGCCTGAGAGTTTCGATTTTTTACGAACTCATACATACAGCTAATATGTATAATAAAACGCACTTACAAATAAAACTGAAAAATTCAAGATTGATGCCCATTCATTAATTCAGCGCAAAATCTTAAAAAAAAGAGCACGCAAGCGCATGTTAATCAAACATCACGTTGGATTAAATATTACTTCAGTACTAGAGAAAAGAAGAGACGAAAAGAAAGACGGGGAAGAAAAGGGGAGAGGAAAGAGAGAGAGGTAGAAGAGTTAAAGAATAGGCGATGGCGATGACATGCAAGTACAAATTACACATTGTACATGTCAGAGTTGCCAACAAGTTTCGTCCACTTCATTGGAAGAATTAATTACTAAACCATATCCCATAACAACCCCATTATCACGTCAACGTTATTTCATAAGCATTTAAAGTCTCGACCGCGAACGGTCGCAACTTCTAATCTCGGCTACCGTCACTTTTGAACGATCCAAAATTTCTCTGCACACTGCATGTGTATGTGACAAAGTCACATCACACAATGGAATCTATCTATATAACAAACTAAAATATGTTTGGACATCGCAACCAGTCACCTCTGCTCTTATGATCCCAATATTCGCTATTATAAACGAAACAACGGCTGTCCGTGTACGGATCTTGCTTCTTCTTGAACCACAGCGGTTCGTACGCCTCGTAAGGTAATCCTGCGGAGAGAGACACGAAATTCGTGAGCAAAAAAGCTTGATTTTCGCAATCTGACGATATAAACTTACCTTGCGCGGCGGCCCTTTCGGCGTCGTGCTCGCGAGCCCGTCTAACAGCTCTTTGTTTTTCTTCTAAACGCAATTTTTCTGCATTAGCCTCGTCCCATCGTCCATCCTCCATTAACCGCTGATCAGGCCTCAGCCGAGAATCCGTCGGAGCTACACCTTCTTCTGGCTCGTTCAATTGACATGCTAGTTCCGTGAATGAATAATATTTCTCACAATCTTCACTGTAAAATTATATTAGGGTATTAAAATACTTCATACACATTAAAAGTGCTGTAGTCGGCAAATTTCCAATAAAAGATCCTCTTGATCTATTTTTGTTTTAAGACATGTATTTTTTAGCATAAAAAAATTTATTCCATTGGAAAAATATATATGTTACATAAAATTATGCTCTGCTTATCATCACAGCTTTAACAGATAGCTGCGTTTGAATTCTTTACAAAGGAAAAAGAACAAGAACAAATATAAGAGAGTGACAATTTCTTTTTTTTTAACAGATGCATATTTCCGCGCGCTTATCATTGCTACATACTTACGGAGGCAAACGTCGTTTCCAAGCTAATATATAAGGACCCGTCTTATAAACTGGATTATCGGGGGTGCCAGACGTGCTGATTACCGGAGCGATTTCTATCTTCGAATCCCATGTACCCTGCACTACCCATTTGACTTCCTTGTTGGAATTCATGACTACGCCCTTCACCTTGCGCTGGCTGTCTCTCGAGAAATACGAGTACGGGATGTACTTCAAATGGCACTTGATACCTTCCTTATGATTTACAATATCCATGTCGCCGCTCTGGTCGACCCACAACTTTCCGACTATAATATTATGTACTGTAGTAGTAACTTTACGCCATGTATAATGTTGCTGGCCACTATTAAATTCTAGATGAGCGGTACCCAAGGGAATCACCTAATGAACAAAATTCAAGTTCTCAGAACGACCGTGTTTGGAAAATACGGATGGTTGCGCGCTCGTTTTGACGACGGTTGAGCGACTGTTTGCGATCGATACGTACTTTTAATCTATCAAGCAAGACATCGTACCTGCAGATATTTTCCACGAAATTTAGAAGCCATTGTGAACTCTTGCCAACATCGCCATTTCTTCCCTTCGCAATGTTGAGCTAGCATAGGCGGATGATGAGACACTTGCTCCGAAATCGCGCGCCATCCAAGATCGTCCGTACGATCGCATTCGTAAGTTTCGCCTAAAAGGGGATTGAAAGGCTTTCCCGTTCTAGCGGCGGTTGTAGCGTAACTAGATACGGTGAACGCGGCTACAAAAGCCATCTGCTCGTAACTATCTGAACATTCTGCAGCCCTATATATTTAAGGAAAAATTATGTCAATAACTTTTCTTTCACAAAATAGACGCGATTAAAGATATCCGTACCTATCAAGAATATCTGCATATTCGTAGTCTTCCGTTAGCCGTTGGAGCATACTGAGAGGTTCCGAAAAGTTCACCGGCATGGGAATTTTGGACAGGTCCTTGCCAATGCAGTTTTTCATTATGCTCCACAGATTCAAGGGATAGTTTGGTTTTTCAGGTACCCTAGTCCTTCTCTTCCGTTTGGTGGTCATCCCGGTGCTGCTGCTGCCATTGTTGGATCGCCAAGCTGCCTGTTGTACGTGAAAATATTTACATCCCGTTTTTATTTATAAAAAAAAAAGAAGGGGAGAGAAAGGGAGAAAGAAAATGTAAATTTGCTTACGGTATCCAGGTCGTCTGTGTTCGTGACACGCGAGGAAGTCTGCGCCGCGGTGGAATCGGTCACAATGAGGAATGAATCGGCGCCAGTGGAATCGGAGACGGGCAAGGGCGTCTGATCACCCTCCGAGCTTGAGCCATCGTCGCTACCCTGAGAATCGTTGCGATCTCTCGCGGAAATCGAATTGCTCGTGGCGGGTATGGTTAGCGTGAAAGTGTCCGATTCTTGGGCGTCGTAAAATTCAGCGTTGTCCTCCTCATCCTCTGACGGTGACGTCGTAACTGCGGGATCTGCAAAGTCAAAATTTCCCATTTGACAGACGCGACGCGGACGTGGAGGAGGGAGGGAGGGAATTCGAAGCCGGGAAGACGGGCGGAAGAAGATTGTACGGAGCACGTGAACGTCAAGTGGGTACACGTTGCACAAAGATCGCCTAATCGCGCCCGTGGATAAGCATCGAGATAAGGTACAAAGTGTAAGTTTTTATCGCGTCGCCGACGCACGACGCGACGGAATCGGGGAACACAAAGGAGGACAAAAAAAAACGCGCGTATGTTACTACACAAATTACGGCACGCCGCGTCGAAGTCACGCCAAGTCACCCGCGTTCGCGAGATCGTATCGCGCGTAATAAAGAATCGATACTGCGACGTCCCGCGAGCCCCGCGCGGCCAAGACCACCGCCGCGTGATCCGCGTGGATCCGCCGTCCGGAGACTCCCGAGTTCGTTTCCCGCTGCTCGAGGACGATTTCGCGCCCTGGCCCGGCCTTGCTCCCGCGCTTCACCACGCTTCACTCCTTCCCGACTTTCTGGCGAATCGAATGTGCCGCCGCGCGTCCGCGCCGCGGGGTCGCGGAGCGTGCTCCGCGCGGCTCCGCGGTGGCCGGTGCTCGCTCGATCGAGCCGGCGCGGCGCGAGCCGCGAGCCGCGGAAGGACGCTTTGCGCGAATCGCACGTAAACGCATCTGTCCCGCACCCTCAATTGTCTAATCCTTCTTTCTTCTCCCTCCGGGGCGCGCACCACCAATTTCGAGTACCGACGGAAGAAGCGGCTCACAGGGGCGAGGGAGAGCGAGATGGAGACGTATGCGAACCAAAACCAACACGAAGACACATTCCCGTGTGATCTCCGATCTCGTCTCGATGACTCCGAGACTCCGACTCCCGGTTCCGCACCCCTGATTCGACTCGGCGGCGGCCGCGAGAAACGGTTACGAAACGCCGCTGACGCGCTCAATCTTGTCACCACCTTCCTCGAGCCGATCGTTTTCGAGTTTCGACACCTTCGTCTGATCTCCGTTCCGTCGTCGGCGCGAGAGGCGATCGCGACTCCGGGGAATTCGGGGGGAACCGCGTTGTCGGAGCTAACGGAAGGAAAAGACGAATACCAATTTGCGGTGCCACTCTCCCGTCGATTAAGCGTCGGGCTCGGAAGAGACGGAAGCACACCCGACAATCGTGTCATGTGCGAACGTACATACATAAGTTATTACGTTACCATATATATGTTATATATATATATACAGGAACACGACGCAGGGATAAACGCTCTTTTGTCCTGTGTATATAGAGACACGGTACACGGACGGTAGTCGGGGTACGTAACGTACGTAGACCACGGATGACGTAATCACGCGGATAATCACCGCACATCGGCGCGTCGGGGCGCTTCTTGGAGGCCACCTAGCGCGGGCGCGGACAAACGACCGCGGGCGCCGAGATTTAAATTCGTGCTCGACAAGCGCGAAACGCTCCACGTCACGGCCGAGTATAAATTTTTGTACGAGGAAAAAGAGGACAAATAGAATGCACACTCGGTTAAATGTCAAACACGAACGCGAATCTAAAAATATAATTTGCAGAGAATGTCCCCGACTTCGGTCTGATGAATTGTTAATCGGACATTTAATTTCGCCGAAATATTTAATTAGCTTCAATGTGCTGTATGGGAGATCTGCGATAAATAAGGAAACTTGGCTGGGAGAGAATTCACATTTAATTAAAATTTCGACCGTGAACTCGTCATATTTCTTCGCGTAGTGCAAGAGATCCTGCGTACAAGCTGCCCTGAATCCACTGTACGTCCTTGTCAAGTTTTTTTATAACTAATACGTGGTCAATGAAAATGTCGAGATATCGATAATGCGTGAGTTAGACATGAGAAAGAGAAGCTTAAACTTTAAAGAAATAAATAACAAAATTATTCTTCAGTTCGAGTGATGTCTTCAATAGAATTTAAATTTAATTTAAAGTTTAGTTATACAAAACATAGAAAAACTGCAATGAATGACAATGAGTGACAATGAATGAGAATTTATTGCTCGACATTTTCGTTGAAAAGAAATAGACTCTATACAATGCCATTAAAACACATTAAATGATTTTGAAACATTCTATATGCTGTACCAATTTAATTTCAAAATTTGCTGTAATTTTTCTAAACAAAATTTTAACAAATTGAAATAGATTTTGTTACATTTTCTGGTACTTGAAGCAACGACGTAGCAGATAAAAGGTATCGAAAAATGCAAACAAATGCATGTTAACAAAAAGCGGAGAATAAGAAATGTAATATAATAAACTTATTTACGTGAAGGTCTGTGTCCCCCCGCATGTGTCGCCGAAGGAATCGCGTGTTGCGCGGCTTCCTCCAGGTGGGAATGTTGCCTAGCTAACTGTTCGACCATTTTCTCTATCCGCACCTTCTGATCGCGCTCGTGCTGCAGCAACTTCTTCCATTTAGGCTCTTGTTGCTGGGCTAATTGCAAGTAATCGCTGCCCGTCTGCAACAACGCGTTCAATCAGTTCTCGAGTTGCGTTTCGTATGAGATCACATCAGTATATTAGATCACATCAATAGAGAGAGAGAGAATGCCATTGCCAAAGGGCAATTCCGTGAATGAGACGACCCTGATTGCGTGAAAATTGAACTCTGCTCTGTGAGAATCTCGCGAATTTCTACGTAGACTTTGAACGACATTATTCGCATTCGTACAAGCGGCTAATTACTAACTGTATCTCAAGATTTTGCCCCTTCTCTTTCCTCCCGTTAGATGAGTCACTCGCTCAGTCGTGTCGTATATGTCTCGTTACGATAAGATTTACGAGATGTTCACAAAGCAAGTTCAAGAGTCTATTGAGCAAGTCCGATAAAAGTGGCACGCGAACAATATCATGCTATTATCTTCCGAAGCATTACTCAGATCCCCGAACGCGAATGTATTCTCCGATGTCCGTTTTTGAAGATACATTAGAGATTATGTAACAGCGGCATAAATGTTGCCGCATTAAAAAGCTACTACAGTTTACAATTAAATGTTGAAATCTTGAAACGAGAATTTTGAATAAAAAACTGGATTTTCTGATCGAACTGTATTAAACCACTATTACGAGACTTGCTAAATAAACAGCGAAAAGGGAAGAGTCTCATTCACAGATACTCGGTCGTTGAATTTCACAAAGATTATCGTTTGGGCTTACGTTGATCATGGCATTCGCCGCAATCCGAAAGAGCGTGGCTCGTTCGCTGACGATCTTGAATTTCGCCGCTAATTCGGGGGACGGAGGTTCTAACATTTCCAAATCGGTCAAAGCTCGTTGAAGCGCCGATCCCTGCTTAAGCATCAAGTCATTGCACGCCTGTAGATCGTCCAGTCGTCGCGTTAGATCCTTAATCACAGACGCGGTTTCTACGTTTTGATTGTCGTTATCTTGATATTCCTCCTCCTCTTCTTCTAAAAGAGATTTCGCCGCATAACGTCGCCGAAGTACTAAAGCTCCGATAATATACAAGAAAAAGACAGATGCAGCACGACAATTATAGGCAAAACGTATAGACAATAGACATCGTATCGACGTTACGGTCGTTTGTGATGCAAATCAAATTCATAAATTATGCACACGTATAACGGTACAATAATCTATAACTAGTACATAAGATGATAGGAACGTTCATTAAATCATTTATAACGCTGGAATATTCTATTTTGTACCGTGCAACGATTAATTCAAATTGAGCAAAAAAATCTCGACTATTAATATTAACCTCGTAAGCTCGAGTTTTATATTTGAAATGCATAAATTACGTAAGTCTGAATTCAACATTTTATACAGGGTATTCCAACTGTTAAACGTTTTGTAAGCGAAAAGGAAAGCTGAAAGATACCGGCCTTCACGATAGTTAATTAATAAAACAAGTCTATTCGCAACGAGTCTATTGACTCTTTAGAGAATAGACTGAATTCAATTCTTTCACTACGATTTTAAACTTGAAATCTTTTAAAATATTTCGTTAAACAGCTGACATAGAAATATTGTACTTTAATTTATTCAAATTTATTTAATAAAAATTTAGTACTTATTGTTCATGTATGTCATTTTTCAATGTTTATTGAACCGATTTCAAACTAACAAATCTGTCAAAATTAGTTTTATTATATTCTGATTTTTCGTGCATCAAATCAAAGTATTTTAAAGGAAATACTTAATTTTTGTCATGACAAAATAATTACGTTAACACATGCTTCTCTATCGTACTTTTTGCTAATGTACAGGGTGCTTAAAAAAAATATTGATGCTTATATGTATAAAAATAACTTTTTAGAGAAACAGGACTGAGATAACACAAGATATCATATGTATTTTGCTTTCAAAGAGTCTCCCATGTGTTCTACAATTCTACATTATTGCAACGTATAAGATCTTCGACGGAAAGTTGTAAATGTGCTTGCAACAATATCCAAAGAAATGTGCCTCAGGGCTCTCGAGACCATCCGGTGAAGATTCCACGAATGTGTTGGCAATGATGGCGAACAAGCGGAAACTTTTTGAAAACAAAATACATTTGTTACTATATTTTGCGTTTATCTGAAAAAGTTGCTTCCATATGTATAAGTGTCAACATTTTTCTCTTGAACATTCCGTGCTTGGTGATATATCTGCAGTGAAATAATAAAATGTTTTTGAATCCAGAGGCATTTGATCTTGTTGATCTTCTACACATCTCGATTTAAAAAGGTGGGAAAAATCCCAGATATGCCGAAAACGGCCAGGCTTACGTGATAGACAGGGCACAATTCGTACGAACCAGATTCCATCGCTTGGATGGCCTTGGCTTTCGCGAGCTCGAGGGCTGTGACCCACTGCTGCCGCTCCACCTCGGTCGACGCCTTGATGTGGAAGGTCTGCGTGCCGCCGTTGCTCACGACGAAGGTGCAGGCGTCCACCGTGTGTATTAAGGCCCCGTGTAAGGAAATCGTGCCGCGGCAGGTGTGGGACATCTCCGCGGGGTTCCTGAAACAGGGGGTAACGGAGACGCGACAGTTTCAGGTACGCGTCTCTCTCAGGTCCGCTCCGGGTTTGCCGTATGACACAGAGAAAGACGGACGTTGAGTTTGCAATCGGGGGAGGGACTCGACTCTTTTTTTCTACGACGATCCGAAACGATTACACGGCCGTGAAGAAGGTTTATCCAAGCGACCACCTCTCCCCCCTCCAAAAAAAGGAGAAAAAAAAGATCGGTTACAGCAACGTGACGATTGTCTGCGTTAATCTGTGACACCGTATCTCTGACTCGGCGGGTGGAGAGGCAGGTGGAGAGGATGGCGGGGGAGTATAGTTAGCATTGAAATAGTATGGATTTATTGACATAATCCGAGAAAATAAACACTCGATTATATCCGTCCGATGGAAAGCGATCCCATTACCGTACCCCGCGTTAAGGATCCATCAGCGACCGCTCTGCCCTAATCCCGGCGCGAACGCGTCCGCACAAGCGAGTGTCTCTCGGCCGCGCTCACGGTCGTCGGTCAAGAGCAACCCGTGGGAGTTAATTCTCTCTGTCGTACGAAACGACAATCCAAAGACCGAGGGGAGCGGGAACGAGGGAATGGGAGCTCTCAATCGAATCACGCACGTGAGGTCACTCGGGTTAATCGGACACGCAACAATCACGATTCCACGTGGAGGAAAAAAAAAGGGGGGAGGAAAGTCATGCCAGCGCGCTCAGGATCGTACAGGGTGTCGTCGAAACGGGTCGCCGAGTTCAGGGGTGGACTCTACTCGCTCGTGGGGATGAACAGAGAGAGAGAATCGCGCGCGATCGCGATCAGTCCGAGAACTCTCGCTTATAGTATTTTTTTTCTCAATAACGAACAATACTTAATGAGGCTCATTGAGATTCAGATAGGTTGGTGTAGGTCTATCGTTGCGTTAATCTATTATAGTGATGAATCTATACGTCGGAATAAAAGATGAATAGATTCTTCCACCAATCTGCATTTCGGTCTATATGTAAGATCCATTAGTCATGAGCTAACGTCAATGCGGAGTATGTGAAAGGGCAGCTTTGACAAAAGGCAAGACCGAGCTTCATTTTATGAGAATAGAGCTTCCACACGAGTTTCTGAGAAATCGTCGCGAAATTCTGCGTAGACAGGAAAGTATAATTCGGCGAGTTCCGGATCGCATGCTCGCGTGATCGCATGATCTTCCTGCATCCTTAGAGCGAGTAAAACGCACCGTTAGAGTTCATCGATCCGCTTAAGGACACCCTGTATACGTTAATTAACGGAATTGTCTCGAGATGTACTGGCGTATACATTTATTTCCCAAGATGGTATATTTTACAATATCGCGCGTAACCGTCGCTCGTTACGTAACGCTCGGTAAATATTTGCGACGAAACATCTGGACGAAATCCGACGAAATCGATTTTCATGCAGTAAAACAGTCTTCGGAATTTATTGAAAAGGAAGCAGGGCCATTGTTGAGTTTAATTTATCGCGAGTTGTCGCGGCTAGGCCCCCCGATACCTGCTGATAAAATTCATTTTATTCAGCGGCGATACGTTGACCCGATTTTTTCAACTCCGCGGTATCCACGAT